ATTCGAGCAGACAGCAACTGGGAACTCCCCAGGGCGTGGAGGTTTGCTTGCGGGTTAGAGGTCAGACCCAACAGTAGCCTTCAGACTCCATTGTCTGTTCCCCTCCACGGTGGTCGGAGGCACGGCGACGGCGTGGCATGGCTGCGAATGAATGGACTATGGGCCATGGACGAGCCAAGGATCGAAGGGTTGGATGATGTCGGTGGTGGTGGATAGCGCCAATGACAACGGGGCATAATGGATGGATGGATCAACTGGAGCTCCGCCGTTCATGGACTGGATCGAGAGACCAAACGGAAGGTCATCGCGGTCTTGGAGGCCTGGGTGTGGTTGTGTGGACGAAGCAGGTACTTGTTCAGTTCTGAGGGTCTCGAGGACCACAAGAGAGGGTGTGGACGGCGATGTGAGGCGATGTGAGGTGGGTGACAGCGACGGAGAAAGAGGGGAATCCACGAGGATTCTTGGCTGGAGAAGAGGGAAATGACATGGATGAGCATGAGGTTGAGCAGGGGATGTACATTGGAGGACGAGGGCGAGGACGAGGTCGAGGTGCATCGTGGTGGGTGGGAATCGAAGTGAAGAAATTTTCCACCTTCCCTGTCGCTGCGTCGTTTGGTGCGAGGAAGGCAGGTACCTGCTTCACAGTACCTGCCTCATGGAATATGACTACCTACCTAGTGTATGGGGAGGCAGGTAGGAGGCAGGTATTAGGTAGGAGGTATCCGTAGATGCCAGGCGTGGCTACCTATTTCTGTGAGATGGAACACTGTGAAGGCAGGCACCTCAGGCAGGGCAGGTGTCTGTCGAATTTTTCTTCATGTGCGCCTGCCTGCTGTGACTGAGGTGCTGGAAGAGACTGGAGGTGCCCGGTGGATGATCGTCAGTGGATGTGCAGTGGGTTTGGGCGCTAAAGGTGCCTGGTCTTAGCAGGCAGGGGGGCGTCTGCCAGGCATGAGCCCGGGTGTGCTAGGGCCATCGTGGCATCGCTGCTGGGCCCAATACAGCAGGTACGTACGCCTTACCTAATTGGACCCGGATCTTATCAGATTTAGATAATCAGATCATCAGATAACCTGCTCTAATTCGGCACGGCCACCTCTCTTAGCACCTCCATCGCTGATTCCATCCATGATCCAGCGCCTCCTCCAGTCTCCAGAGACACACACCTCACACCTACGTACCGAAATTCGCGCAGCGGCTCCATTGCAACTTCATCCGTCCCCAAAATACTTTCCATCATGAGCCGTACATACCGACCTGTATTCGTACCTTACCGACCGACCCAAACCCCAGCGATGGAGTCCTCCTTCCTACCCACCCCTCCAAACTCCGACGGGCCATCGGGCGACGAATGCCAATTTTGGATGTTGCTCTGAGAGCGCCCCAGCCATCTGGTCTCACCTCCGCCGTCCCAGTCTCCATCTCGTCGTCTGAAGACATGTCCTCACCGAACGACCCAGGGTCGCCATGACAAGATCTTTCATATTGCTTCGCACTCTATCTCGGTCCAGCCTACGGAGCCGGCACTCACTGCCGTCCGGTCTCCGGTCGGTCTGGTCGGGTACCCGATGGGAGGACGCGAGACAGCTTTGTCGCTCGGATCAAAGAAAGAACACCACCACTGCGCCAGGTGCGGGACAAGGTACTTCCCTCCACCCCAAGCAGTACATGCAAAAGTACTTGATTATCTGATCCATCTTGTCAGATTAGATCCTCACCACATCATCTTTAGCGGGGGCGAAATGCTGCACAAGTCCGCATACACTACATGCTGCGCAATCCCACCATGCTGCTACAGTGCTACCTACGTACTCTACCACGACTACCTGGCGCATCATGGTGTGCCCTACACCATTTTCTCTCCCTGTGAAGAAAAAAACAGGTACCTCTTCGACGGCACTAGAGCCTTTCGGTTCGGAGAGAGTGGCCACTGACCTGCCAGTCATCGCTGATGATGGCACAATGTCACCCACCAGGCCAACGCCCACCCCTGGCTCTTTGGCTTCCAGTCCCGAGGTCTCTTCGTGAGCCCCTGGTCCTTTTGCCCGCTCTCGGAGCAAGCTCTGCACCTGTCTCGACTCATGTTTCTTAGTGATCCTGCCGCCTCCACATCGCATTCCATCGCATATCGCAACTGCCCCGGTTCTTCCCACCATCGCACCGCCGTCAAGCCGACCTCTGCCCAGTGCTGGCTCCTCTTGTTCACTGCAGTCAGGCACTCTGCCAGCAGGCTACCTGCGGATACTTCGTACCTTATGCGACTCTGAGACGCGACCTGCCGCCTGCCGCTTGGCTTTCTGCATCGTTTGTTCGGGTCCGCCAAGTTCCTCGACATCAAAACCTCGCACAAGTATCGTCGACCAAGGTATCCGTACACCAGCAGAACCGAAACAGCAACGACTCATCCGCCACGACTCGACTCGCGCGCCCGCTGATGATCCCGGCTGTTTTAGTGTACGAATACGTAGGTACTTGTACCTGACACAGACACCGACCCGACGAGCATTAGCGTCGAGGTTGTGCGCTCTCGATCAGCTCGTGGCTCGTTCGGTTTCTCATCTCTAGCCCCGGGGCGCTGGACGAGATTGACAGATTTGATCTTATCAGATCCGAAGATAACCCCGAAATCGCATCATGACCCCTCCCACCCAACTCCACCCCTCGTGCAAACTGTTCATCATCGACACTATTTTTTTTTCATGAAATTTTCCTGTCGTGTCTGGTTGTGGCTTCTCGTCTCACCCCTCCCTCCCTGTACCATCTCTTTTTTTCTGCTGCCCTTCCCACATCGTCTTCTCCTCCTGCATCTGGTCCCGTCCGATTTCTGCATCACGACCAATTCGGAGTGGGCCGGCTAGCACCATTGATCTGCATCGTCTTGGAAATGTCGGGAAAAGTCCTCGTAAACCGACGGCTTTGGCTTCCTTGACGCGGACAGTTAACATGGCCGAACATTCCATTCGTCTGCAGTCGGATCCTTCGCCTGCTTCGTCGAACAGTCTCACTGGCTTCAGCCAAGGGTCCAGAAACGGCGGCATTAAACAAGTGCAAGCCATCTCATCATAACCATCGCCAAGTCCAGCATCTAGTCACGTACTACCGAGACAGGACTGCAAGGCAGTTGATCTTAATTCAAGCCTAACAACGCTGCGCCTCACCATCACAGACGCGGCAGAGAGAAAGGGCTTCAGGGTCCAGTCTAAATCCCCTTCCCATGGGCCATCCGCACCCCCGCGTTGGGCAAACTGTTCGTCAGTCGTCCGCGCCCTGGGCAACTTTTTTTTCCTCTTTCAAAAATTGTCTTCTGTGCCTCCGGTCCATCCCTCCCGTCCGCTCCACTCCTGTGGCCCGGCACATGCAAAGCGAGATGCCAAGTCCTGCGACCGCCGCTCGCCGTTGATGCTACAGGCCCAGGCACCACACCTTTTTCTTGTCAATCACTCACTCTATTTTCTTCCTTATTTGCCTCATCGATGGCTCACTGCAACATTCTTCTCCGTCAACCGAGGAGCGGATTTCCGTGTGTACTTACACCACCACACCAAACACATATACAGCACACCCACAGCTTCATGTACCTCAGAAGCACGCGGGCTTACTTACTACTGGTACAGAGTAGTATGGCCCCAGCCAGACAAGAAAAAAAAGAAAAAAAAAAGAGGCCCCAGTCGGTCCCCATTCATTCCCATTCCCAGCCTTGGACCCAGACCCAGTCCTCCCAGGGCGTCCCCTACTAGCGAGCCCATCTCTGGAGTCAGCCCGTTGCGACTCTGTCCCTGGCCCCGACCCCTGGATGTGGAAAGGCTTCCGTTGTGGATGGCCTCTTGCTTTAAGCCGAGCTGGCGCTACGCGAATACCTACCTTCCTACCTGCTCAAAATACACCATGTGGTAATACCTCGCCCAGGTCTCTCTCTGTAGTCCATGTACGAGTATGTACTACTCACTGCCCCCTCCAAGACCAGCTGCTTGCAAGGGTTCAGGTGCAGGGCCGCAGGCGTTGTCCGGCAGAATGACAGGATCGCAGCATCGACGTTGCCCCATTTGAACGAAGAACCGAATGTTGCAATTTGAGTTGACTCCTCCAAATGCGTGTAGTTCCAGTCGCAGTCCCCAGTCGCGATCCCAGGTTTGGGTCAGAGAGGGCGTGAACTCGACGGGCTCGACGGGCGTGTACGTTGCAAAACACCACCACAATGTACTTGGCCGTACAATGTGTACCCGTACCCATCAGAGCAACGTCGTGTCGACAGCTCCGAGGACGAGGGACGAGGGTCCAGCAGCTGTTCGTCTGTTCGTTTGGGTTCGGTCGATCACGTCGCCGCAACAGATGGAGGTTGCCATCGGCCTCCATCCGTCTCTACATATTAGCCCCTCGATGCCCCTCCACCTCCGATCAGTTTCCTGTTCTTGTTGCGTCTCTTCAACTCACACTTCTTCCTCCGTCCTCCTCCTTACCTTTTCAGATCCGCATCTTCAACAACCTGCGGCTTCTTCCATACCTCTCGCTCCAAGAACAAGGACCCTGAATTTGCCTCTAAAAGCGCCACCTATTGCAAGTCGATGACGAACAGTGTGGCTTGAAATCTGCAGCAGCTACAATCACAAGGGAAAAACCGGCGGAAAAAAAGTAATACACCCCCCCGCACTTTCGCACCCGCATCCCACTTTCGCACCGGGCGTGGTCTTTTTTCGACCGTCTAAAAAAGTAACGGAATCAAGGTCAGTTGATGCTCCCACTCCCCGAGCAAAGCGACAATGAGCTTTCCCAGAGCCATGAAGCTGACATCTTAAAGCGACCGGTCTGCCCTCTCAGGTTTTCCGGCATTGGCATATAATCTGCGCGTTTCGACCGTCGAGACTTTGAATTACCTGTTAACCGCCCCGCGCGCGCGACACACATACACACGTACACGCACCTGTGACCCTCGTCACTCACACACACACACACTCATACTCTCAAGTCACATACCCCTCCTCACAAAATTCAACACCCCCACCATGTCTCCTCACTGCGACTCGCCGACCAACGGCTCCGACGCCGGTAGCGGCTTCTCCCAATACAACGGCAACGGCAATGCCTTTGCCAATGGAAACGGAGCTGTCCACCAGAACGGCAACGGCGTGAACGGCCACTCCAGCGGCATCCAGAGCATCAAGCAGTCCCCCTACCTGCTCCCTACCGACCCCAGCGAGATCCACGACCTCATCTGCTGCGGCTTCGGCCCGGCCTCCCTGGCCGTCGCCGTCTCCATTAACGACGCCCAGGAGGCCGGCCGCCAGCTCACCGGCAGCGCCGCTCCCAAGGTCCTCTTCCTCGAGAAGCAGCCCGCCTTCGCCTGGCACCCGGGCATGCTCCTGTCCGGCGCCAAGATGCAGATCTCCTTCATCAAGGACATGGCCTCCCTCCGCAACCCCCGCTCTCAGTTCACCTTCCTCAACTACCTCCACTGCAACAACCGCCTCGTTGAGTTCACCAACCTCGACACCTTCCTCCCCGCCCGCGCCGAGTACGAGGACTACCTCCGCTGGTGTGCCTCCCACTTCAACGACGTCGTCGAGTACGGCCGCGAGGTCGTCTCCATCTCCCCCGACCCTGCGACCGAGGGCGGCGTCAAGGTGTGGACCGTCAAGTCCCGCAACGTCAAGACCGGCCAAGTCTCGTCCTACCGCACCCGCAACGTCCTCATCGCCAACGGCGGCCAGGCCAACATCCCCAAGGTCCTCCCCGCCAAGCACCCCAAGATCATCCACTCCTCCCAGTACGCCCAGCTCGTGCCCCAGATCCTCAAGGACAACTCCCGCCCCTACCGCGTCGCCGTCATCGGCGCCGGCCAGTCTGCCGCCGAGATCTTCCGCGACATCCACCGCGCGTACCCCAACTCCAAGACGTGGATGGTCATGCGTAGCAACTTCCTCAAGCCCGCCGACGACTCGCCGTTCGTCAACTCCATCTTCAACCCCAGCTACGTCGACGAGCTGCACCCCAAGTCGCAAGCCTACCGCCGCTCCCTCATCAAGGAGGCCAAGGCCACCAACTACGGCGTCGTCCGCCTCCAGCTCATCGACCACCTGTACGAGATGCTCTACCACCAGAAGCGCCTCCTCGGCGTCGACGAGCGCAAGTGGCCCCACCGCATGCTCTTCGGCCGCAACATTGTCCAGGTCAACGAGAGCAAGGAGACGGAGCGCCTGCAGATCCACGTCCGCAGCATCGAGCACAGCGGCGACGGCCTAGAGGACGGCTTCGTCAGCCAGCTGCCCGGCGACGAGATCCTCGACGTCGACCTGATTGTGGCCGCCACCGGCTACCAGCGCAGCGCCCACATCGACATGCTCCGCGATACCTGGAGCATGCTGCCCGAGCTCACCCCGGCGTCCAACTCCGCCGACCGCGAGATTGTCGACGGCTGGGAGATTTCCGAGGGCGACGCCACCTCCGGCTCAAGGAAGCTCGAGGTCGGCCGCGACTACCGCGTGCGTTTCGCCCCTGGCACCGTGGCGCCGGAGGCTGGTGTTTACCTGCAGGGATGCAATGAAATGACCCACGGAGTAAGTTTTTTTTTTTAATTTTTTTTGCGCCCTTCGTCTCACTATCAGTCCCTCCCCCTCATTCCGGATAAGAGCTTTGCCCCCACAATTATGACGAACACGTTTGCTGACGACTTCCCAACAGCTGAGTGATACCCTTTTGTCTATTCTTTCTGTCCGATCATCCGAGATCGTCGACTCTATTTTCTCGACCCCCAAGGCCAAGGCCGTTTCCAACTAGAGGGAGATGCCAATTTGGTTGTGTTTTGTTTTCCCGGTGTTCTGTTTCCTACCACCCCATCTTGTTAGAGAATGTATTGCATTGGCTGTGATAGAATGAGAAGAAAGAGAGGGGAAGAGAGGGAGAAAGAGACGGCTTACTGTATGGGATCTATTGGGACATGGGATGATGTGCTGACGAACATCTCTTTTTAACGTATTTCAAAGTCGGGCTTGAAAAAGACATGGCGCGGAGTTAAAATTCATTTCGTCTATTTCATACTCGAAAAAAAGATCTTAAAAATATGCAGACTGTTCCAGTTGCGGTTTTGTGCCCAGCTTCAACCACACTTCTTGCGTGTGGACGAGAATCACGACGTAGGAAATCATCACGAACGTTTGGCTTGTCTAGGAACGTTTGAACTTTATTGTATCTTGGACCCTCTTGGTCATGGGAGATAGCTATTATTACTGTATACTTGCAATTCGTTGTTGTCCACCCAGGTCATCAACTCCTGATAGACCGCATCGCCCTCATTCGGGAACGTCTGCTGCTGCAGCGGCTGCTGGTGATGGTTCAGATGGAGATGGTAGTCCCGCGGGCCTGCAGACGTCGGTGTGCTACTGCTGCTGGTGTTGCTCATCGCCACGTCCTCGGGCGCGAGACCGCCGGGGCCCCCTACCACGCCACGAGCAGCAGCGGCGACAGCAACAGTGCCACCCGACGCGGCGACGACGCCTTGAGGCGCCAGCCGAAGACGCTGGATGAGCGACCTCAGGTCCTTGAGGACGGTCGCGCAGTCGCGGGCGTAGTTGCTGCCCGTCTTGGTCTCCTCGTCGAATATGTCAATCGCAAAGTTGACGTCGTCGGACTCGGCGGACGGGGACGGCGGCGGCTCCTGCTGCGGCGGGGGCAGCAGCTCCTCGAGCATGAGGATGATGGCGGCGTTGAAGACGTAGTGCAGGCCGGCCTGCAGGAGTTTTCGGGTGCGTTTGGTGAGGTCGAGGAGCCAGCGGGCGAGGTGAAGGTTGCGGTGGGCGGCGTCGGAGCACTGGTGGATTCGGGCGGCGTGGTGCTCGATGTTCCACCGGCCGCCGGTCGTGATGTAGCGCTCGGCAAAGGCCTTCTTGACAGCTACGAAGAAGATGGGCCGCAAAAGCAGGATGAGGTGCTATTTTCGAACGACGAACCCCGGTTAGCGGGCTTTCCGTTTGGTCTCTTCGTATTCCCCTTTGGGGAGGGGGGTAGACGACGAGAAGAGGAGAGGAGGGAACGTAACATGTGCCGAACCCGAGTCGAGGGAAGCGAGGAGGGGAGGGGCATTGAGCGGGATAGAAACAAGCTTACCTGATTGTATCCCATATGCAGGAGACAGCATGCGGGATCGGGACTTCTGTAGTCGGCCGGCATCTGCAGGGTAGGGGGTAGCTGGGAGAGCCAGGTTTCGAGCATCTGCAGCGCTCGCTCGACATGCCGCGCCGCGCCGCCGGGTTGGTGGTCGTAGGGGGCGACCTTATACGTGTTGCACACGATGTGGCCCGAAATGCGGGCCAGCTGGACGTGGGCTCGGAGGCCGGCTGCAGGGGGGAGGGAACTGCATGGGTGAAAGCGCGCGGTGGCGGTCTTGTTAGACATGGTTCTCGTTCGTTGGTCGGAGCTGGGCCGTCATCGGAGGCGTGCTCGTCGGACTGCCGGGGCAGGGAGGGAGGGAAGAGGAGGAGGGGAGGGGCAGAGGGGGGGCGGGCGGTCGGTTCAGACTTACGGGGCATCGTTCGGTAAGGAGACGCGGACTGCATCATCCATGATGGTCGGTGGCCGGCCCATCAGACAACTCAGCCAGCGGTCCAATATGTAGAGTGTCCAAAAGACTCGTTTGCCGCGCTCGTCAACCCAGCCACGGTGAGCGCCGTGCATCATGGAGATGTGCATGGCGTTGCTCACGTACATGTACGCGGCATCGCGGCGGTTCATCTCGATGAGGTAGAAGCCCATGAGGGCCAGGACAGCCACGTCGCTGATGGTCCAACTGGTGATGTCGAGGGGGTTGCCGAGTAGGCCACGGGCACGGGAGAAGAGGATCTGGCTCAGATCTTCGGGCTTGGGCATGCGGTCAGGCATCGTGTTGGCCTGGCAGGCGACAGCGAAGGCGGTATGATAGAAGGCCAGGTGACGGTACTTGTCTAGCATCTCCTGGCGGGAGGTGCCTGGTGGAAAGGAGGCAGGATTCGGGTCGACGGGGACGGAGCCGAGATCGCCCCACCAGTAAATGCCGCCGCAGGGAAATGTGCCGTTGCCGTCCTGGATGAAGTAGCGGAGGTCCTCGAGCATGACCGTCATGTCGGAGCGGGGCGGCAGAACAAGCGGATCGACATTTGACATTTCGTAGATCGGGCGGGAGTCGTATGTCTGGTAGCGACCGAGGGATGCCAAGAAGGTTGAGCCGTTGTTGGCGGACGGCGACAGCCAGGGCTTGTTGAAGGCCAGCGGGAATACGGTGGACATGAACTCCTTGAGATAGTCGAGAAAGGTGGCGCCGGAGGTCTCGCCGAGAAAACGGGATCTTCCGTCCGGGTCAGACAACATTCGGCCGGCGGTCTCGGCCTCGGCGTCGTTGGCTGCGGCCTCGTCCCGGTAGAGCTGTGCCGGCTGCTGCTGCATTGTGTGCGACTGCGGCGGAGTGAAGGATGAGCTGGAACCGGCGCGGGAGCCGGTCGGGTCGCCGCCTTCTTGCGCTATGAGGTGCTGTCTCTCGGCGGCGTCGGGAACCTTTGTCTGCAGGGCCCGTTCCAAGGCGTCGCATTTCCGCCGCAGGTCATCCAGCTCATTACGCGAGACGGTGATTTTCTCGATAAGGGCTGGATAGACGCAATCCCGGGACGAACCGCGGCACTGGCGGCACGGCCTCTCGCCAGAGCATTTGATGCGGCGGACGTTGCAGCTGTTGCATCTGTGGATAGAGTTCGTAAACAAATCTTGTGGACAGTGAAGGGGATATTGGGTGAGAGTGAGCGTGATTGTGAGTGTGAGTGAGATCGAGCGTGAGTGTGAGACGCTAGACCAATGAGATGCGCCGATGAGATAAAGCGCCAGGGGACGACCAGAAGGCTGAGACGAGAGACAAGAGACAAGAGCCTGCAAAGCAAGGAGAGAGGGAGCATGGAACGAACTTACGCTGTGGCGACGCGTTTTCTCTGCTCCGGGGCTACCTTGTGTCGTCGCGGGTTGACAGGCAAACGGGAGGATCCACGGCTTGGGTTTTCCGTCTGTTGCTGCTGGTGCTGCTGCATCCTGGTGACGCGGGATAGTGAGGCCGCATGTCACCGTCGCCGGGCCTCGTGCACGGAAGTGAAGGCGATCCTGATGGATGAGAGGAAGTGAGTGAGATGGACTGGAGAAGCTGTGGTGTTGGCACTGAGTTTGGTGGTTGTCGGTGTCGGTGTTTAATGGTGCGAGCCAGCTACGTCGCTGCGTTGGTTGTCGTCGTCGTCGTCGTCGTCGTCAGTGGGCGTTGGTGTTGGCTCCTTCGGCGGCTGTTCTGTTCTGCTCTGCTCTATCTCGCTTGTTGGGATCCGCTGATGAAGGATTTGACGCCGAGATAGACGGCTCTATGAATCGCCGAGGTAGCTCTCTCACAGTAGCACAGTAGGCACCTGTACTACAGTTCCAACGTTGCCGTAGTCGTCGTGGCTGCTCCTGCTGCTGCTGTTGTTGTCGCCGTTGTCGTTTGGCCTCCTGCCCTAGTCGCTGAGTTCTGGCTGGCTGTGTGGGACGTCAGAAGGGTACCGGACAGATTCGGTCGCTTGCTACAAAAAGCTGTTCCGGGGGAAAGATTGGTGGTGGGCATGGCGTGGAGAATTGAGATTTTGAGAGTGTCCGTTTCCTTGTCGCGACGGAAGCGCCAGCGGCACGGTCAGCACCGCCAGCCAGCCAGCAGCATTAGGAGCAAAAAAAAAAAAAAAAAAGGGAACACTGGGGGCCGTTGGAAATGGTCAGCTACCTAGGTTCAGGGGGGGTGAGGCAACGTGGGATTGGGGATTGGGGGTCGGAAGATACTCCGTGTTAGGCCTCCTCATGTGATTTGTATGTGATGTGCTAACGGCCAGCGGCGGTGCACTAACACGAGCTTCCCTTGCCTTGCCGTGCCTCGCCTTCACGTTTCCTTTGGGGGCCGGAGCTATGCCACAACAGAACCACCACAAGGCAGACTGCTGCATGCCTTTTTTTTTTCTCGACTGCGGCCCGGGTCGTCGTGTCCAATGTCGGGTCTGCGGTGTGCTTACTGCATATCGCCCATCCATGGGTAGTTGGTGAATGAAGAGCCTGCTGCTGCTGCTCCGCTGCAACATGCATGCTGAGCCTGCAAGCCTCGCTCGGTGAATCACAAACAAACACCATACACCAAACACCCACCAGACCGACCGTACGGATACATCCATCCAAAGGGAGGGGACGCGCTCAATCAATCACCCCGGTCATGGAAGGATACCCCAAGGCGGATTCGGGGGCCGCTGGCCATTGTTGATTGATTCAAACCCCTGGGAGCTGGCATGATTGGGACACGACACATGCCACCTTAACTTCTGAAGGTAAGGCCAAGGTACGGTACTTTACAGACCTTACTTGCTATGCAGTGAGAAGTACAGTAGCATCTGCATCCGTATGCGTGCGTCTGCAATGCCTAACGTACCCGAACGGTTCCCCAGAGTCAGCAAACCAGCGTCCAGGAAAACGGAATGGAACATGAAAATGGAAGCCCCGAACCTCGCTAGAACTCCGCCACAAACGTCCCATCTTCACCGTCTTACGTCGCCTGTTCCTCTCCTCTTCTCTCTCCTCTGTCGGCGGGTAATGTTCCTACTCATTCTCCCTCTTCCCGCCCAGTCAGAGTCAGAGTCAGAGTCAGTCAGTTGCCTCTTCTCGTCCGCCCAGCCACCATTCATCATCCACCGAGTCCACGTGCAACGGATGGTGGGAGGGCTCGTTGCGAATGGCAGCATCTTCACCTCATGTTTCCACTTCTTTCCGACTTTCTGTCTGACAATCCCGAAGGCCATAGCTCGCCGCAGGTGCCAGCAATTGGTTGCCTTCTCATGCCCTCCCTTGCCCTCCCCTCCGTGCTGCTGCCGCCCAACCGCCCTCCTCAGCGGCTACGGCTACGGCTACGCTACCCAGACAGGCCAGACACGAACGCTCGCTTACGCGGGAAGAGACACACTAGTGACGCTCCAGACTCAGGCCGTCCTGTCAATCCTGTCTATCCTGTCTGACCGGCAGCAACAGCCCTGGAAACTTCGGCCGATTGCGCCTCGGGTCGGTGGAGAAGATGTTGTGCCTGCTGACCTTCAGCATGGTTCACTTGCATGTCCGCCGTGCTATGCGCCGTTGTCGATCCCTCTCCCTGCCCAGGCGTCTACTCTTCGTGCCTTTCGCACACGACTCCACGGGCTCTGTGTTGGGAGGCACGCGAGTTGGTTTCCTCGCTTAGCGTGCGTGATGCCGCTGCAAACTTTCAGGGATGTCCTGACCACGCCAGATAGGCAAAACTCTCAACAGCAGCCGTGACAAATTGAAGGGGGAAAAAGGAAAGAGTGACTGGAGAAGCCATCGCCAGCTTTGGGAGGCTTCTCAAAGGAAAAATGTCGAGAATCTCTGCCAGCATAATCGTCTCCCAGTCTCTGGTCTCTGGTCATCTCATATCTCTCAGTCTCAGAGACACAGACACAGAGACGCACGCACATGATACATGATACACAAATCGTGGCTGCTGCCCGCGCAGGAAATGCTCCGGCCCGTTCCTCTTGCGCACGGAAAAATTCGAACCAGTTCGCCAGGCTGCCTGCTGAACATCAAACTCACTAAGAGGGGTATCACACCCGATGATGGAGGCACATCAGCCGCCAACATGAAGACACCAGCTGCAGACTGCTGCAGGCTGTGGCAGGCTGTGGCAGGCGGGACGGATCACTTCCTCAGGCGGCGAGCCAAGCGTCCAAGCTGACCTCGCTCTGACCACAGTTGCGTCTGATGCTACCCTGCTTCTTGGGCATTTTCGCGTGCTCCGATCTGCTATTACAACTGAGTCTCAGTCAATAAATGGCTCCCAGGGACCACCAGTAGCCACTCACAGCCAACGGAATTCCGTTCCGCCATCAAGATAAGCACCCTCTCGGAGGAGAGCTGTAATACAGCTCAGCACCAAGCTCCAACGCAAGGGCATTAATGGACCATGGCTTCCAGGCAAGACCGAGGTCCTCGGACTCGACCTTCCCGCTTGTCTTGATCGCAAAGGGCTTCTTGATGATTATATACCATGCTTGTAGGAGCTTTCCTGACAAACTCCTAAAGGCAAGCTGATCGTAATTGAAGACTGTGCCGATGCGCGAATGAGGACCTTCTTAAGCTTGACTTTTACAGTGCAGAATGAAAGGCCGAGCAGCCTCCCATGCCCACAGCTGCGAGAGTGTTTCGCGTTTTCTTCTCCGGGTTGCACGAATTGAATAGTAGCTACACCAGCTCACCAGATGGATGAGCAAGTGCTGGCTTAGTGTGCGACATGAAGATCATTCGTGTGGTCCAAAAAGCGTTGGTGAAGCTGTTGATCTAGACGGTGCGGCCGGAAACCCTGTTGAAAGTGACACGTCAGCGCTATTTTCTATGAACAGTTTTGCCTCAGAGTCAACCAGAACGGCACCAGGTGAAAATGCAACGTCTAGAACCCTTGCGTGCCATTGACAACTTCCCTAAGACTGCCTATCCTCTTCCGTCATCTGTCGACGTATGAGCGCGATGCTCTGGAATCGCCATCGTCGGGACCTGGAGGGCTGCTGCATCAGCATCTTTGCGCACATTCCCTTGAGCTGTCGAAGCATCCATCCTGGACTCATTGGCCCACGTCGATGGACCATGCTGTCTCCGCTAAGGTCGCTGCATAGTCGTCGCCAGCTTGCAGCATATTTCTATCGTTAGACAGTCAAGCGCTGGCGTATTGTGAACTTGGGATAGCCTGAGTTGGCAAACAACAGGGTACGGATATCGTGTTCAACATTGGAACATCTAGTTGGCTTCTATGGGACAACAGTAGCCTTTGCCTCCGCTTGACGCCCAAAGAGTCAGCAAGAAGCAAATCGATCAGAGGTCCTCGGGCAGGGAATCTTTTCATTGTTGGGAGCTTACTGGTTATTTCGACATGCGTCTGCCCATCCTTGGCGTCTGCAATCTCTTCAACAGTTCTATACCAACCGGTTTCAACTCGGCTCATCTCAGAGTTGTGCAGGCTTCTCGATAGCCGGGAATGTTGCGTAAAATGCACCCATAAACCTGAATAACAAGTCCTCCCTCCCCTCGGGTGCGGTTACGAAGAGTCCGAAAGGCTGTCCGTTAGTCTCGAGGTTCCCCAAAGGAACGGTCGCGATCGGCCATCCTGCGGCCCCCGCGAAGCCGACGGCGATGGAGTCCGAAGCGGACACAATGACGTCCACTTGTGCTTCTCGCATGGCCCTTCCCAGTCCGTCAATGCCTGCAAGCCGTCGAACCTCAGAGACCGCTGCCTGGTGCTCGGCTTCCGTCATGGCCGTTGCCGCGACTAGGGCTGCCTCAAGTTCTGTCTGCGTTGTATGGGCTTCCATCTCATTAGCACAGCCGCTCTGATCCCCTTTACAGTGGCAACACTCACGAGGAGGCAAGGCTTCATCCGCATGGTCTTTATTCCAAGCAACGACATCCTCGAGAGTTTTAATATCTCCGGTCTCAGGATCGAAATTACCGGCGAACTTCTTCACCTGAGACGAGAACTCATGGTCTGTGATGTGAGCATGACTGCGAGCAAGATATCGAGATGGCCTCAGAGCAACTCACAAGCGATGGTGTGAAGTGTCTGCTTGTCGTGGATGACCGTATCGTAGGCTGGTAGCTCGATAGGATACACGACGCGGGCTCCGGCACCACGCATCCTGTCCACTGCGTCCTTCCAAGAGGCTCGCTGAAGTAGATGTCAATCTCAGGATGGGTGGATGACATTAGAGAACCTACCACATGGGAGTGCCCCCATTTGTTCACCCCAGTCTCATGAATGCCCCAGAGAACGTCGGCAATACCCACGGAAAGCCCCTCCCAGCTGTCGCTGACCTCGAATTTTGGGATGTCGCCAAGGGGACCCTCAGTCTGGGTACCTACCAGTATCTCGGCGAGAGTCACCAAGTCACACGGATCCCTGGCCATTAGTCCGATACTGTCGAAGCTGGAGCTCAACTTGAAGACCCCATCCGTCGGTATCAAGCTTGGCGTGGGCTTCATAGCGTACAGTCCCGAAAGGCTTGCTGGGTATACAGTCGAGCCGGATGTCTCTGTGCCGATGGCCAGCGGACAGAAGCCGGAGGCAATGGATACCGCCGACCCGGATGAAGAACCCCCAGCGATCTTTCGCAACTTAGCTCTTGCTTATTTCGTCCCTATGATCCTCACTTACTGGTTGTTCGTTTTCGGAAAGACCATCACGGCGGTATGGTGACTTCGTCTGGCCACCAAAGGCGCTCCACCCCACCGGCGTATCATTAGATCTGCGTCCGTCAGCAGCTGATGGTATCATGAGAGGGCAAATCAAGCACTTGAGACCACAGAACTCCTGCATGCTGTCAGTATAAGGGACTTATCCTGTTTTCAACTTCGCTTACTGTCATGTTACCCTTCCCAATAATGATGAGACCGGCGTGAAGCAGTTTCTCGACCACCGAGGCATTATTGAGTGCTGTCATCGACGCGAAAGCATGGGCGCCAGCAGTTGTAGGCATACCCAAGTCCTTATGGGTAATGAAGGTATCCTATGTATGCATCAGTCGTCTCAATCTCTATAAGGACGTTATCGGCCATCTCACCTTGACCACGACAGGTATCCCATGCAGTCTACTCCGGACATGTCCCTCTCGTCTCTCCTTGTCAAGCTCATCGGCCCTACTCAGAACTACGTAGTCAGGGCAGACTCTTATCAAGGCATTCAAGACTCCATTATGGCTTTCAATCTGTTGTAGACAAGCCTCAACCAGCTGCCGGCTCGTAAGTGACCCAGACACAAGCTTCTCTTGGAGGCTTAAGGCGGTGGAAAATGTGAGCGTTGTTGCAGGCGGAGCCATGTCGAAAAGGAGCTCACGGAGCTTCTATGGGCTCTTTTCTTCTGATTTAAGGTTCTTTCAAGGCGTCGACAAATGAGCAGTTTTGTTCTATGTTGCGGTATGCTACAGGAACTTTTGTCATCGATGCCCCTCATTTGGATGAGAGGCTACAGCGATGTGTGGGCCGCTTTCAACCCTTGATCTATCTGCCTAATCCATTGATAAGCAGCAACCTACTTTCCAATGTCAGCAATCATAGCTAGAAAGATTACAAAACTTCATTCCTGAAGCTTGGGTGGCTATCACATGGGAGTTCATCCAGACCTTGGATGAGTGACGCGGGGGCCTAGACTGGCACTCAGCTGGCACCGCCTGGCCACACAGCATCATTCCCCGACCGGCCGAGTGTCTTCTGATGATGACCTCATACGTCAGCCAGCTCGGCCGGGAAGCCACGCGGCGCAATGGCATCAACCATGCATCAAACACGCTAGGGCCCTTCGATCAAAGACACCGACCGAAACGGAAGCAAGAAGCGTAGAGAAATCAACCCGAAGAGATGGATTCAGAGCCAAAGCCCATGACCCGCCGCACCGTCGTCTCGTCTTTCATCTTCAAGTTTCCTCCAGACGGCGGTCTTCAGGTCGCCTTGTTCCGACGGAGCGATAAGGTGCGGACGTACCAGTAAGTTTCTATTACCATGCCATGGAGTCATCAGATACTGAGCAGTTCCCACAGAGGTCGTCTTGCTCCCGTATCGGGCAGTGTGGATAAGGAAGACCCGTCGCCTCTGCATGCCGCATGGCGTGAGATCAAGGAAGAGACGGGCTTGACGCCTGCAAATCTCACGCTCTGGCGCCAGGGCAAGGACTACCGCTTCGCCGAGGAGAAGATTGGACGCGAGTGGATCATCCACCCGTTCGCCTTCCGGCTCAAGTCCCCGGATGACGAATCTCGAATTCAGATCGACTGGGAGCACACAGGGTTCCAATGGTTCGATCCCCATGAGGTCCGTGATGTCGATGAGTTTGGAGGCGTGCCACGGCTAGCAGAAAGTCTGCGTCGGGTATGGTTCGAGGTCGAACTTGGGAACAAGAGGGGAGAGATGCTCAACCAGGGGTTGCTGGCCCTGCAGAGGGACCATGAGAGTGGAGCGAGACAGCTGGCCGGCAAGGCGCTTCAGATCCTCATCAGTTTGATCAAAGAGGGTGACGAGTCTTTAGATCAATGGTGGAAAAGCGCGAGGCTTGCGGCGTGGCATCTGTGGAAGAACGGGCGGGAGAGCATGGGTGCTGCAATCCTAAATGTGCTCGTGAGGTCGCTGGCTGTCATCGAAGACGAAGTGAAGAGGGCTGATGAGGTGTCTCCGGAATTCCTGAGCACTGTTACTGGAAAGTTGCAACAGTACGCGGCATCGAGGGATGAATCCGTCGACGATATTTGGAAATCTCTGAAAGGCTTCCTCCAGGAGAACCACGACTCCGGGAAGCCGATTCGCATCCTGACTCTTTCGTCTAGTTCGACAATACTCGAGTGTCTTCATAGAGCCATCTTGGGCTTCCGCTCCGAATTCGACATCAGGATCCTTGAATCACGCCCACTCTTTGAAGGGGTCTCGATGGCCTCGAGACTAGTTGGCCGTCTGCAAGAATCGGGGGCTGAAAGGGAAAAGAAAGTCGAGGTATCCATTTATACCGACGCCGCCGCTGCAATTGCCAGCGAGGCCATCGATTTGGTCTTCATCGGCGCGGACTTGATTGCAAAAGATGGGTCGACGAGTAACAAGACAGGCTCGCTACCGGCAGTGCTCTCGGCCAGGCACTGCGCTCCCCATGCGAAGGTGTTGGTACTGGCAGAGAACGAGAAGATTCTACCCTATGAGCCACCCTCGCGTGAAGAGAATGACATCGAGGAGGTTTTCGTGTCCTGGAGGAGGGAAGACTCCCTGCGGGAGGCCACATCGACGGTGCTTAGCTATTCACAGAAGGGAACGCCCGAGGGTCACGGTCTGCAGGCGACCGTGAAGAACGTCTACTTCGAGTGGGTTCCTACGACTCTCATCGACGGGTACATGTTCGAAGATGGACAGAAGGGTGCACAAGATATCTCGGCTCTTGCGGATCATATTCGCGGCGAGGCAGATGCCTACTTCGCCAACGTCTGATTATAGACATTATGGGACGGAACATCAGCCATCCATGTAGACGGCGATTCATCAAAGACCGTAGATGAATGTCCACTTTCTGTCGGCGTACCGCGTACTGTCGACTCGCTCCCTTTCAATGTCTTCTGAAGTCTTTTGTCGCAGAATCTCAATCTTTCTCCGGTTGACCCGTACCAATATGAATCTGTACGACAGATATCCGACGAGGGCTGCTGCCACGAAGCCCAAAGTGACATAGAAAGGAAGTCTGTAGTTCGGTTTGTAGCGATCGCGGTAGAGCTGCGCCCCAATCACACCGGCGAGGTTTCCGAACCCGTTCGCGCCAAGGACAATGGCTCTCTTCCCAGGCTCTGTACAACCAAAAGGGTTAGCAAGTTTGCAATGCAGTGCGAGGCTTAGATCCATACCTGGGTTGTTTCCACTCAACCAAGCAACAGTCAGGGGCGCAGCGACATAGCTGCCAAGTAGGAGCACGCAAAGAGCTGCATACTTCCCAGCGTGTGACTCAACGGTGACCGTGGCGATCAGTCCAACGAGAGCAATCACAATTCCTCCCACAATATGATATCCACGTTCCTTGCTATTTGAATGTTAGCCAACACAATCCGCAGTACCTAGTGGAAAAGCGAAAGACGCACTGGTAGTCCGAGCTCAAGGCAAACAAGTACAAGCCAAGAGCGCCGCAAACATACGGTGGAACGGACATCTAAACAGTTAGCAAATTTCACATAGTTGTTGCATCAAAACCTACCAAGTTGGCCTGTATGGAAGAATATCCAAGCCCCTGCACCACGAGTGGAAGAAACACCGAAAAGGCTTGTCCTGGCACGCTGGCGCAGATGTTGAACACCAAAACGTACCAGAACTTCCAGTCTCGAAGTGTCTCGAGGAAGTCTCTTTTCTTCAAGCGTTCGTTTTCGATGCCGTTCTTGCTGTAGGTGTGCTGGACGAAGAGTGCATTGTCCTGTCTCATCCGTTCTGCTGCAAACTGCTGTTCGTCCGGCGTCAAGAACCAAGCAGATCCAGGACCCGATGGCAGGAAGAACCAAGCTATAAGGCCAAAGAAGATGGTCAGAGTTCCCTCAATGATGAATAGGTATTGCCAATTCTTCAAGATTCCGTCGCGCAAATGGAAGACGCCGTAGGCTGTGAATTCATTAGCACCTGTTGACTCTTTACAACTCGACTTCCACAAATTGGCCGCACGTTTCGGTCGTTTCCGAGGCACTTTGACAAACAGACGCCCAGGGCGGATCGTTTAGAGGCCTTCGAAGTGCATCTTGAAAGTGCAGCACAGCGACGAAATCATTTCTGTCAACGTACCAATTGCTCCAGAGAAAGCCCCCGCAACGGCATATTGTCCGTAGAAAAGACCGACGCGAACCGCGAGGTCGTATCTGCAGTAGAAGAATGACAGATAGGCGACGGCAGTGGGATAAAAACCGGCTTCGAAGGCGCCGATCAGGAGGCGAGTGGCAATGAGTGCATCTGTTTACGCAGCAATTAGCCAATTTCCAACAAAATCGCACGAAATAACTGACCTCGTCCTTTGATGAAGGCCTGGACCAAGGTGATGAACCCCCAACCGATCTGTCGTTGCCAAGGTTAGCAAAACCTGCGTTTTTCGGGTTGTGGAGGTCTTGTGTAACCTACCATCATAATGGGTATCCAGTGCTTCGCCCCAAGCCATCGACCAATGGCTGCCGAAGGAGGTTGAAACACAACAAAAGTAATGAAGAACAGAGATACCGCTAGGTTCAGATCATCTGGAACAGCTCCAATGTCCGTGGTGAAGCCTTGAAAATGGAATGCAGTGTCAGTGATCCAGAAAATGCCTCGATTTCAGGGAATGCCTCAGCAAACTCGGTTCAACATACCTTGGGTTTGTGCATTTCCCACATTTCCTCTATCAAGGCCATTGAAAAGATAGAGAATGGAAAGAAGAGGGAGCAGAGAAATATCCATCTTCCGATTAATGCGTCGATGCATGGCAGCTTCGTTGACCGGCTCAAGGCCATGGTCTCCTTGGACACGTAGGGGCTTGCCATCCGAAAACCAGGAGATAGTCTCCTGGGTCTCGGCGCTGTTGGACATTCGGCTCATCTTTTTTCTTTGCTTTTTCCGTTCCGTTGATATCAGTCTCGTAACTGCTGGTTATTTCCAGGGGCCCCAATCTCCAATCTCCCTCGCTCCGGAGCGTCCCTTTATAGCCGACAATTTCATGGGCAAATGCGGCTCGTTCACGACACGGCGTGCTGGCGGGAAAGCCTGTCTCTGCAAAATCGAAATTTTGAGCCTCATCTGCCTGCTTCTGTCGTCATGGCAATATTCGATGTCATGCTAACAGTCATAAGGCAGCTGCTGCGGTCATGATTTGCCGTGCTCAGCCCTAAGAGGCTCATTGTCTGTAGAGGGTGCCTTGAATGCAGAATGCTGGACGGTGAGTGGTTAAATGGAACAGAAATGGCAAGTGTACCACATAAGCAGACAGAAGGCGGGTTTCAACCAGTCTGCGCTGCAGGTGTCTTCGTTTTTGGCCTCTTCCCCTCCCAAGAGTGGAGAGAGTCAGATCGATAATTCGGTGAAAGGGGATGGAACCATAAGTCTTGTCCGGACTCTCCGTCAGTGCATCACGTCAGTCGACGCCCGCTTCAACGGTTTCGGCCATCTTCGGTCTACAGGGCTACTGCACAGTACTTCTCATCTAACTGGAGAGCCCGGCCACGAGACGGGGGCCTTCAATGTCTTTTGGCCCCCAGCGGCATTTCGTCCGTGTGGGACCACGGCCGGCCAGAGTCACCCACGCGCCGTTGCGCGCACCCTGCCCCCAGCTCCGAAGGGGGGCATTAGCTTCTTACACCGTTGGAGAATTTAGTCTTTGGGCAGACTCAGCCAGGCCGTTCTAGGGTTAGTGAAACGGGGAACGAGGGGAACCTGGGCAAAAGACAAAAGAGCAGATGGAGTAATGGAGGGTGGGCAGGATCAACTAACTTCACATTTGACGTCCATGGATCAAGGGATGACTGCTCTTCACCCAATCCAACAGCCAAGTTCGCAGGTTGATGACGGGGGGTTTGGGGCATGCAAGTTGCCTGTGGGTGGCGGGCGGCAGGCATTGATTGATCGGTGAACGGCACTCTCTCTCCGCTGCTAAAGCGTTTGATTCACAGGGGGTTGTCTTGGTTGGAAACAGATATGGCGGGCAGAAAGTTGTGTCTCATTTTCAGATCAGAACGAACGCCTCGATTCACACATTCACATTAGGAGGGGCATACTGGTCAGGCGGCCTTTATCGGTCAGCCCAGCCTGGCCTAGTCGAGTCCAGATCGCGAACCTGAAGAAAGTACCATGCAGAGTAAGATCTAACGGTGACGCCAGGGGCCTGGGACGTGGACCTTGGCGACATGTGGAAGCAGCTATCAGCCCTGTATCCTGACCCAGATCCCAGGGCCTCAATTGGTGTGCTTCTTTGATCCTTCGGCTGGTGTCTCAGTTTCTTCCCGAGCGCTCGGTGCCGATCCATCTCGTGCATCTACGGAGTACTCGATTGGGCGTAGATCAAGTGAGACTTGATCTGATAGGTTGAAAATACAAAACTTGTAAATGGAAAGAAACGTCCACGATGCCTTCGCAAAATATCGCAGATCTGGCAAGAGGTCTGTGAGTGAATACACTTTGGGGTCACTTGCGGTAGTATCTTCCTCTGTGGAATTCTTCAGGACAAAAATGGGGGTGGGCGGAGTGATGTACCTGGAAAGTAACGTCTGTTCCTTTGTCTAGCTGAGGTCTTTGGCTAGCCGCGATGGGCGCCTCCAATTTTGGAGATCATGCCCGGCTCCGATGGCCATGGAGGTGGCCGCCAAGTCCGGCCAAGAGCAGAGTCAAAAAGCCGGATTCACCCGTTGTTTTGTTTTGCGGAGGAAAGGGGCGTTTTAATATGTAAAGTCGCAGTGTGCCAGATTTGCATTTTGACCTTCTTCTTTTGATGTCGACAGACCTACCATCCGGCGTTGTCGTCTTCTTTTCCATCAGAATGGTACGATCTTTAGTTCAACCCATCTTTGATTGAGCAGGCACACGTGTCCTGAGGGGTCCTGGCCTGTTCGACGCTCCACGCCGTTGAGGGACCCCTATCTCTCCTTCCAATCGGTCGACTCGGGCCATTGACAACCGCTGTGGACATCTTGCCTTGCCGGCATTGTACAATGTGGGTTGCTGCGGCAGACCGTTTCCTGTCAGTTGAGCTTGTGTAACCTAACCCACCTCGGAGGCACCTGAATGTTGCGCAGGCCGATCGAACCCACACGATGTCGGGGCCACTCCGACATCCTTGTCAAGGCCTTCCTTCTTCAGGTTCTCAAGACGTAAACGGTTCTCTGTGATTGGAATAACAATATCAAACGAATGGATCTCCTCTATCCATCATGCTATCCATCATGGACGAACCCGGCCTTTCTCAACAAAGAAGAACGGTCTCCCACCTAGGGTTGCACTTTTCCCACTTGTAAGTCCATGTCTTTCCCACATCAAGCCTTTCCGCAACAAGCGTCTTAAATGGTGGACGTCTTACTCTACCATCATGGCACACATGTATCGCGGCCCATTCCAGCTATCCATGAGAGTAAATAATTTCCTTCTCGATCTCCATTCCAATCACCTCCAGTTCACGGCGAAGTCGAAGGACCGATCAATGCCGCCGACACCCCGTCGCACTTGAACAAAACTGCGACTCACCTGATTCATGCCGCCCACCACTTCACCGCTTTTAGTACAGATCGCCACGTCGACAAACTTGTCGACACTATCCTTCTTTGCCCCCTGAGGACGTTGCGGCTTAGTCTCCCGCCGGCCGACGAGCATGAATAAGAACGAGGCCGCCGCACCGCAAAAAGCAGTCGATCCCAACAAGGGAACAACAATGATTCAGGTTAAAAGTATGGGGGTCAAAACGCGTGGCCAATTGCCGGCCGCAAGCCATGAAGGCATTACCTCTAGACCAGGTCGGAAGTCCAACCCACTGGAAGTCCAGCCGTCCTCCTCATGTCTCTCTTCGACCAACCAGTGCATGCTTGTTCTCTCCTGAGCTCGCAAGCCTTTCGTCTTGACCCAGTAGCGATGCAAAAGACTGAGATGCTCCAGAACATCTTCTACTACGCAGTAGTCTTATTCTGTCAGTCCAATCTCACCAACATCCATTGGCAGTGTGATTCTATGTGTTTTGCTGTACGATGTTCGACTCCAGCTCGTGATATCCCGTACATTGGCTCGTCCGTATTGCACGCATACCTGGGCAACTCCACAAAAAGACATGAACGAGGCACTTCTCGGACAACCCCAGGCCCCTAGCACACTGGGCCCAAAAGCGACAGTGATGAACTGAACACGTTTTCCGCTCTCGAGAAGGCTCCCAAGCATCTTCGAGAATACACAGCCGGAGTGAAGAATAGTCTTCTACCCATGTCCAGTGTTCCCCAAAGCTTGGTTTCTCAGGGATGCTGAGGACAAGACTGGATTAGTCCGACCGAATGTTTCCGCGAAACAATACGGCCTGACTTTTTAGGTCGTTTGGTGCATAGTAGTCTGTTTCGGAAGCTTTTGTTGCTGGCGTGGACGTTTTCCACCTCGTATTCTACGCGAAATCTTCCGTTGCAATAGCGATTGGACACATGGAAAGTGAGGATGATCTGGTGATCGGTGATTAAACAGCATCGGTCTGACAAAGCTCGCTCCTACGTCGTCCACCCGATCCGGGTCCGTAGCAATCTATCTGCTGATATGGTAATTCTGTTGGATCTAGATGCTGCTGTGGCATATCGAGAATTGAGCGGTTGCTCTACTGCCCCGAACGCGAATGTGTTTGTGGGGTCTCGGCCGCCCGTAACCCCCTGGTAGCCCCTTTCCATCTCGGTCATTCGGGGCTGTAACCATGATCAGAGGCACCGAACTGTAGTTTTTCATGGCACCAATTCTCACAGGCTCCGGCACAGGCTCCGGCACAGGCACATCAGGAATGGTGCGCATTGGGACGACCCTGAACGCAGCGCACAGCAAAATCTCAACACGGAGATATCGTGTTGCTGGGGAGATCTTGACAATCGACCTGAATCAGAGTATTTCGACTTAGCTAGCTTTCAGACTGCTTGCTGGCCATGTAATTTGACGCGAAAGTAGGAAATGACAGGATCACGGCTGGTCTCAAGTTGTCTGTCTTGCTACCAAAAGTGACAACAGAGATGACTTCGCCCTCCTGCAGCATTCCTGCAGCATCTCGTCTTCGGGCTTCCTAAGTAGCGACAATCTATGCAGCCCCGACACGAGTGAGGACGCCCTCTTCATGCTCGGGCGAACGCTATTATTGACGTTGTGTTTTCCGAGTCACAGCCTAGGTTCGGATCCCACAAAGCCTTCTCTCTGGTGGTTACCTCCGAGAGCGTCCACATGCTCCTTTTGCCCGTTAAGTAGCGCAGCATCAGCAGGGGTGCACGCATGGTGAAAGGATCATCACTGGACTGGTTCTCCTGACACTGGTCTACACGAGATCTTGGGGTTTTTTTGGACTGCGACCGTCCAGCGAGACCGCACACGACTCACAGCATTCTGCCCATTCAACTGATCGAACCTTATATGAATCATCTTCCGACTAAGATATTTTTTTGTCG